CCAAGAATGTGCATACCTGTCATAGGATGTTATCTCCTTCTAGACAAGCTGACATCAATTTCCCTCCGTTTTACACAAAGAAAATCCTGGACTTCTAAAAGCAAATCAAAGTTCTAGGCATGCAAGTCAGGGAACTCTGGTAGCGTAGTATCTAAGGCACTTGACTGCTTACCAGAAGGCTGGCGGTTCAAACCCACAAGCCACTCCTCGGAAGAAAGGTTGGGAAATCTACTTCTGTAGTGATACTGCCTTGGAAACTGAAGGAGGGGTCTCTATGAGTCAGGTCCAACTTGACAGCACATCACAACAAAATAACACCAGGCATGCATGTCAGAAAAGTAAGTGCATTCCCATAGCCTCCAAATTGCAGCAGAGCAGGGGCTTGTATGATTTGTTCACACAGCTGTATCCCAGAAATAGATCACACTACTAGATCCTAGAAATAGTTCCTGGCACAAATAAATTTACTGAATGAATGTAAACATGAATAACTTTATTAGAGTGTTCATTGAGAAGTAACAAAACAAATTATACTACTTTACAGAAGGCTTTATCATAACTTACCATCCTCCACACTCCATTAATTTTTGGTGTGATTATTTTCCTCATCTGATTCACAAATTCTTCTTTCATAGATAAGTATTCAAGGTCTGTCTTTGGGAACTTTGAATTTAGCTTGTTTATATTTGAGTTCCACAAGATACACACACTGTATTTCTTTCGAGGGTAGTTACTTGTTAATTTTATGCTTGCTTACACATTAGTAGCTTGCTCCATTGGTAAGGTATATGTTCTATCTTGAGGAGAAGTATTGGTGTTAGAATCTTTAATTTATTAAAATTTATATTTCTATTTTAGCATTTATTCAGAAACTTTTATTTATTCTCAGGTGAAATATGTTTCTATCAAGGAATGGATTCTAAAAAAAAAAAAAAAAAAAAACAAGAATACATGCACACCTGTACACCAATGTTCATTGCAGCACTCTTCACAATAGTCAAAGGTAGACACAATTTAAATGTCCATTTACAAATGAATGAATAAACAACTTGTGGCACTTACACACAATGGAACACTACTCAGCTGTACAGAGAAATGAAGTCCTGATACATTACACAATATGGATGAACCTTGAAAACATACTGAGTGAAATGTCATTTGCAAAAGAACAAATAGTGTAGATCTCATTTATATGAAATAAGAAAATATGCAGAAGCAGAAGATTATTACCAGGAATGGAAGAGAGTGGGAAAGAGGGAGTTTTTACTTAGGGAGCATTGAGTTCATGTGTAATTAGTGGTAGAATGAATTGGAAAAGGATAGTGAGAATGGTTGCACAATTTGAAGAATATAATCCATGTCACTGAATTTTTACATGTAGAAGTTGTTGAGGTAGCGTATGTTTTGCACATGTACATTTTCATCACAATAAAAATGAAGACATGCAAAGTAGGTATCTTTTTTCAAAAATGAGATTTATCTAGGACTTCAAAATACAAAGTATTGCTGCTTTGTAGATATTACATGATGAATAGTACTGATCCAACATTGCACTACTATGGGATACCTGCCCCAGTAAATACAGCAGCTGATGTTAGTGAGGTGCTCCAGTGAGAGTCTGAGAGCTTTCAAAATCCTGAACTGAAATATCTGGAAATGCTGACTATAGCATTTATTAATTCAAACATTTATGAATTCACTTATATTTGGTAAGTAGCCAGGCATTGGCCTGGATGATGACAGAGCAATGAACAAGACCTCTGCAGGAACTCAGTTTAGTGTGAGAGATAAAAGTAAACAGCTAATTGCAGTGTAAGGTGATTAAGCGCTGTTAATCATTAAAGGAAAGAATTAAACAGTGCTATGTGACATGAAAATGGTTTGTGTTCCACTACTAACCTGGACAGCTGAAAGCATATCAGACTAAGTTTGGCTGTCTGAACCTACCTAGCCGTGCCTTGGAAGAGAATATAGCCACTGAAAATCTTATGCAGGGAGCTCAGTTCTGCTCTGCCATACAAGTAGGAACCTGAGTTAGAATGGACTCTATGGCAATGGGCTGTGTCATTCACTTTCAGTGTGGTTTATTACATACTTGTTCATTGGACACTGGCTAAACAGATGTAATATTGCCCTACTAATAAGAATATTTGATTAACCAAAATGTTCAATTCCCTGACCATACCTGAGCAACAATTTTACAAGCAAGTATTATATAATTAAAAATAAATAAATAAATAATCTCAATATTTACCACAGGAGAAAACTGTGCACTCATTCTTTTGGCAGTTAATGGCTAATTTATTTTATCTCACTTTAGTATTTTATGATCCTTTTTAATTTCCAGGAATTTAGAGGCCCCTTCTGATTTTACAATGGAGAGAAAGTAATTTATTTCCTTGTGGCATTGTTTTTTCACTTAGATGCTGGCAATATTTTACTAAAATAAAAAGAGCAAAGGTCAGTAATAGATTCACATAAATGTTTAGTTGGAAAAAATGAGACATAGTTAATAGGTACGGGTAAAAATGATAGTAGGAAAAGCAACCATGACAGTGTAACAACTGCTCAGATCATAATTCCTAATAAAGGTTATTCTTTACTGACAGCAACTGACAATAGCAACAATGATAAAACGATGTCCACAAAATTTGTTAGATGCACCTTTCTTCAGGCATAGCACTAGGCATTCTCTCACCATTGGGTTCTCATAATCACTAAATTGTTACTAATCCCTTATCTTCATATGTTCTTCAAAAATGTGTTCATCCGTTTCCTTTCTCACATTCCTTAGAAAGCTGGAAATGTAGTCCCGTCCTCTGTGACTGTGAACCCTCAGGCTGTGCGTCTCCAATTACAACCGTTACCTTTAATATCTGTTTTCAACTCCCAGGATATCACCTGGTTTCTTTATCCTTGCAAGGGGAATTTCGAATGAGTTAATTCCGCAAACTATAATCTGACAGTGCAACACGTTGTCAACAGCGGTGGTTTTTTTTTCCCTCAGCTCCCCAAACTCCTATCTGGCGTCCGAGATGGCCCCTTTCTCTAGAAAATGAGTTTAAAACAAAACTTTTCCCTAGCAGGTCCGGCTGCTGAGAGGGTAGTTCTCAGTATGATGCTGTGGATGCAGAATTTGAGCGCAGTGCTCTCGTCTCTCCTGGCCCTACTCTGGGTCATGGAAAATGGGCGGAGAGGAGAGAGGAGAGAAACTGGTGGAGGTCACCAGCTCCCTACATCCAATCCAGGCTGCTAGCGCCTCTAGGTGCTGAGGGATCCGAGAGGGCGAGCGCGCCTGGCAGTTTCCGCGCCTGGAGAGCTCGAGGAGGGGACGCGCGCGGAGACCCGAGGCGGGAGCGCGGTCCTGTGCGCAGATTGACCTGTGGTGGCGGCGGCGGGGAATCGGGTGCAGAATGGCACACCGAGGCGAGCGCTCTTCTGTTCAGTCTAAAGCTCAGGCGGCGGCCTGGGAAACCAAGGTAACCACCCCTCCAGCTGCTGGATTACCACCCGCCGGCCTCCAGATGCTCAACCCGAACAAGGTTTAACCAACCCACTCACCCCACGGAACGCTCAGTCAGCCGCGCTGTATGGTAACTTAACCTGCTACTGGCAACAGGTTTAGACCAGATTCCCCAAACTGGGGGTATTCATAGAGATAGGGGTTCCCAGGCTGACTTGTCCCAATTCTGAGATGCGAAGATGGGGTCCAGGTAGAAAGGGTCTCAGAACAAGGTGGGGGCAGGCAAAAGAAAAGATCTCCTTCTGCTCCGCGTTTCCTGTGTGGGCGACACTTCAGATCCCCACTGGGGCCGCGCCAAACTTCAGCGCCCCCCGGGGTGAGAGGGAAAACAACCCTCTAGTGTTTGAGCAATCACAGAAAGTTTCAGCAAGTTAGGAGGTTTTGGGAAGATGTTGCAAGCAGAGGCTTCGGGGGAGGAAAGGAGGGAGGGTGACGGGCGAAAGTTTAGCTGTGAGTAAGACCTGGACAAGGCGTCCGCCCTCCGGGCACCCCAGGCGGCCCCATTCGGGTCAGCCCCGGGAAAGGCTGGCTCGGAATTCCCAGCCTCCCGGAAAGCTGCTTGGGAAAAGCCAATCGAATTAGCACAGGCGGAGTAGCTGTGGTCGTGGGTATCGAGTGTCTGTGACTCAGGCCTTTCCCCACTGAGGAAAGACGACAAATAAATACTTCATATTGAATGTTGCTACCCTGAAGCTTTTACTTAATCAACTGCTAGTAGCCAGATGTAGACTGAGACAGATGTGGACTGAAGGAGCAAGGCCTGCTGCTTCCCTCCTTATGGCAAACCAAAATCTCTGCACAGGTGGTAGCTGGAACTTTTCTATAGATTCTTTATCCTGCCTCCTGTGAGTCAGTGCACGCGCATGGGCAGTCATTATGATTAGGCTTTAGAAGTATACTCAGTAAAGTCCCCATTTAAAGTCAGTGAACTTCCCCAGTCCCCTCTCTACCCTTTTGCTTCCTCTCCCATCTACTTCTCCCTCTACCAAAGTTTAGATAAGCTTGCTATGTCCGCTTGACAAACAGGTTGCCTTTAGTTCACTTAAGGAATAATCTGTACTTTGAGGATAAAAACCCATCAGAGAAAATAACAGGAACTTTAAAAGTTCCCTAGTTATTTAAATTGATTATCATGATTTTAAAGCATTGTTGTGTTTCAGTCTACTTTTGCTAGTGATTTCGTCAATCTGAAGGTTTGAAAGTGTCAGTGAAGTGTCAGTAGAAGGCATTTAGGAGGTGCTCCTTTGTAGGTGGATCACAGAGGTTAACCAAGGGATCTCAATTTTGTCAGCTTGTTTCCTTGACAATGAAATGTGGGACCACAGGCAGATTGTGCTGCTTTCAATATGATGCAACCTTGCTTATGATAGGCTAGATAAATCAAATTCCCATCATAGGGTGCTGTGGCACTTGGGTCTTAAATGTCAGATGAGCAGTAATGCTCTGCTCATAATCTCTCTCTCTTTAATGTTACAGGTATCTGGACTGCAAGCCTACACTGATTTGAGAGGGAGATGACTTGAGTGGCCAGCTTTTATCTCCACAACAATGTCCATGAACAATTCCAAACAACCAGTGTCTCCAATAGCTGGACTCCTTTCAAACACAACCTGCCAGTTGGGAAACCGACTTTCAGTATTTTTTTCAGTAGTCTTCATGACAGTGGGAATTTTATCAAACATCTTGGCCGTTGCCATTCTCATGAAGGCGTATCAGCGATTCAGACAGAAATCCAAGGCTTCGTTTTTGCTTTTGGCTAGTGGCCTGGTGATCACAGACTTCTTTGGCCATCTTATCAATGGAGCTATAGCAGTATTTGTATATGCTTCTAATAAAGACTGGATTCGCTTTGACCAATCAAATGTCCTTTGCAGTATTTTTGGTATCTGCATGGTATTTTCTGGTCTATGCCCACTTTTTCTAGGCAGCGCGATGGCCATTGAGCGATGTATTGGAGTCACCAAACCAATATTTCATTCTACGAAAATTACATCTAAACATGTGAAAATGGTGTTGAGTGGAATATGCTTGTTTGCTATCTTTATAGCTTTGCTTCCCATCCTTGGGCTTCGAGACTATAAAATTCAAGCATCGAGGACCTGGTGTTTCTACAAAACAGAACACATCAAAGACTGGGAAGATAGATTTTATCTTCTACTTTTTTCTTTTCTGGGGCTCTTAGCCCTTGGTGTTTCACTTTTGTGCAATGCCATCACAGGAATTACACTGTTAAAAGTTAAATATAAAAGTCAGCAGCACAGACAAGGCAGGTCTCATCATTTTGAAATGGTCATCCAGCTCCTGGGTATCATGTGTGTCTCCTGCATTTGCTGGAGTCCATTTCTGGTAAGATCCTAACATTTTGACCAGTTTCTGCTTTCTTCACTTTATCCACTTTCAACACTTGCTTTGCCTTCTTTTTAAAAGTTGTTGGGCTTGGTGGGAAATACTGTTCAGTCTTTTAAATGCTGGGGCTTACTCCTAATCAAAACTTATTTCAGCACTCTACTCAGGCTTAGAATTAAGCTATTCACTACATACATGATTATTTCCCCACAAGCTGTACAAGGAATTAATTATGGGTAAACAATTCTAACTATAGTGTTATCTGTTTACAGTGTGATAAAGTAGTTTTACCAGAAGGAACATATTTTTAATATACTGAATGTGATTTACTTATTTATTTTTTACTAGTAACTGTATGTGACAGATTGATATTTTGATTTGAAATTCAAGGCTAAAGTTAAAAACATAGAAAACATTTAAGTCATTTATGTTACCTGCCAGACACAAGATAAAACAAATCATGATTGATAAGTATGATCATTATCTTTCTCTAATATTTTACTTTAAGGTGAAAAGAGTATCAAGATGCTATGAAAGAAGGAAAAAATCTGTAAGGATCTAGTGACAATAAAAGTGGCTTTTATTCTTCTTTGTGTGACAGTGGGGAAACTACCTGGCACCCAGAAATAGCAGTACAGGTGATATAAAGGTAGAGGTGAGACACAGGTAGAGGTAAGACAGAAGTTATTGTGATACCAAGGTAACTACCTTGTATGGTAAAATGAAGGTGCTGGTTGTCAATGCAGTTTTCCTAGGCTCCAAAAGACCCACTGTCTAAGAATCTTTGTTGGTGGAATTTTAATAAATAATCCAGATGTTTCTGATACCCATAAAGTTTGTGTAAGCTGCTGGTGCAGACAGATCCTATAATAGAGTCAATTTTATTTTACAAAAGAACTTCTACTTTTCTGATATTTCTTTATATTATTACTTCACAATAAAAAAAAAATAGCTTCTTGAATTGTTATGCCATTTAAACATATTTCCATGCTATTCCTGTGTGGGCCAGGACATAAGACCCCTTTGGCAAGTCAACATTTATACTGCCTCAGAAACCCAAGGGAGGGGTGTCACTATGAATTGGATCCAACTTGATGGCAGTGAGTTTGGTTTTGGTTGTTTCTTAATTTGGGAGGCCTTATGTGAAACCAACCAAAGTTCTAATCTGTGCTTATAGTATAGTCATTTAATCAGGTTAACACAGACAAGTTCTAACAATACTTGGGATCACTTTAGTGTTCAATTTTGAGGAGTTTAATTTTTGTCACTTGACAAAGGATATTTTTCCTTGGGGTGATGATTTTTTTTTTCTTGAGTTACCTTTTAAAATAAAGTAGTTTTTCCAAATAAATAATGAGTTTGAGTGCAACTGATACTAATTTTGAGGTTGGAAAAACAATATGTAAAAAAAGAAGAGAAAAGATGATTGAAAATGTTTAAAGAAATTTTATAAATGTAGATCACTGTTCTGAAAAACTTAAGCCATGAAATAGTGAACTAAATGAGAGACTGCTAATCTGGACGACTGAGGTAATTATTTGTGTTTTGTTTTTTATTTCTTGTGAGTTGCTCATTTAAAAAAAAAACTTTTTATTGTGATATGGGTGAAAGTTTACAGAGCAAATATATTTCATTCAGCACTTCATACACATTTTGTTTCATGCCTTTGATTGTAATCCCTAGAATGTCACAGCATTCATCCTACTTCCTCTCTGTTTCCTGTTTCCGTTTGTCTTTCTTCTGAGTTACTCTTAAAGTTCTGTTTAGTTCTGGCTGTTGACTTTGAAAAATAGAAGTGGTAGACTCACTACTGTAAGACTTTGGAAGGGAGCAAAATCTCAGACTGTTGTCATGTTTTGAATTTGTGTTTTTCTTTAATTTTCTTTCCTGAATTTTTTATTTCCTTTACTGCTAGAACACATATTACATTTTAATCCAGATTCTGAACATATTTCCTAGTGGAAACATAGTTTCATTTTCATAAAGCATTTTCTGTGGTGTACTTTCTATTTGATTATGAATTATTGAAATATCTGTGACATAGATATTTCAGTACTTCTAAATACTTATTTTTAGTGTGAAAATTCTTTCTGTGTCAGACACATAGTAGGTATACCACAAATATTTCTTTATGGATTGATATTCTAGGTTGTTTCAAGCATTCTTTGCATTTTTGGTTTCTCTTGTGGAGACTTGGGTTTTCATGCCAATTTCTGACTAAAGGATTTTTAACTTCCTTGGTCTGGACACAAGGGCTTCAAAGATTAGGTTAAGATCATCAGACAGGTCTAAACTGAATCCTAGGAAAAAAAATTTCAGACATGAGGATACCCAAAGAACATCTGGCCCTCATACCTCATTTGAAACATTTCTTCTTGTTTTTAAAATTTAGAGGGAATTGCTTTGATGCTAATGACTGAGCCTTAATACTCCTGCCCAACCTGTATTTTACCCATTTCTTTTAGCTTTTAAAATATCTCTGAAACCAAGCTTATTGTTGTTGCTATTATGTGCTGTCAAGTTGGTCCTGACTCATAGTGACCCCTCCTTGGGTTTCCAAGGTGGTATCACTATGGAAGTAGATTGCTCAACCTCCCTTCTGAGGAGTAGTTGCTGGGTTTGAACCGCCAGCCTTCTGGTTACCAGTCACGTGTCTTAGGCACTATGCTACCATGTCGTTGTTGTTGTTATTTGCCGTCGAGTCGGCCCCGACTCATAGCGACCCCTCCTTGGGTTTCTGAGGCAGTATCACTACGGAAGTAGGATTGCCCAA